CACAAACGAGAGATTCAGCTGGGTTCCAGGTGAGTCTCTCGAGAAACCAAATTAGTGTGCCAATGAGTGTATATTCGCTAATCTTCATGGTTTGAACAAGAACACAGTGACGAACAATAATGTTTTCGGGATCTCGTCATCAGGTCAGTACATATCTAATGGTTAAAATTTGGACGAAATACGAAACACGCAGCGAAGTTTGGTTATTGAAATGCAAAACGTGGAGGCACGAACGGAATGCACCCTGGTGCATTGCAGGCCTGAACCAGCTGTTGGCCTACCTCTGATCGTATTTTGAATAGCTTATTCGTTGTGAGACCCTAGAACATTTTGCTGTCCCAGATCGGTTGTTCCAATCCCAAGCAAGCACATCACTGTTAACGATAGCAACACCGGATGAGAATACTGGTGCTACGCTGCCGTCCAACTACGCCAGTTTATTTGAATAATGCTTCATAATAGGATAAAGAAGGAAAGGGGACCTAGGGTTGACCTAATACAAGTATCACTCAGTCCGACATTGTGGCTAGAAAATGGCAGTATGAACGCCACTGACATCGGTTAGCCGCCTTATGGTTCGGTGTCTATCCAACACGGACTGTCAAGTGGACCCCACCCTGGAAGGCAAACAGCGGTCGTCTTGGAAGCTGGTGACTCGGCGTGCATGGTCTAGCCTCCTTAGCGTTCGATGATGAATGCATTTGTTTTAGTGAAGTACCCTCCGCCTCATTAAAGACCCGTCTTTCGATAAGCTCATTGCGAATTTTCCGGTTCCAACCGATTCCAGCTATAGTCCAAAAGATAGCTCAGATCCTCTGCTTGGAATGCCCAGGTCTCGTAGCTGTTCGACAATACAGCCCACGCTGTAGTCTGATACATGCGTCGTTTGGAACATCACAAGTAGCACAAATTGGCGAACAAAATTCTGGTCTTTGAAATTCATTCGTTCGTTTGGTCTGTCACACCACCGTTGGAGGTAATGCAGGTAGACTGTCGCCCCCATATCCTCAGTCGAAAGTTTCACGAGAGAGTTATCCGCCAATTAGTTGTATTCAGCCTTCAAGATCGTACAAACTTCGATAGTACCAGGCTACGTGAACATGTGACAGCTACATGCAGTCGGTACCTGTTTGCCTGATCCGATGGCCAAATCCGCTCGCCCTCTGTTGGAGACTGCAGCTAGCCAGCACGACAGTTGGGCCCACTGAGAAGCGGCATGCAGTTATGTGTTGAAGCAAATAAATCGAGCGGTGTGTAGTGTCGAAAGATTGCCATGTGAAGTATATTTTACCCTGCTGGAGATCGTTTCGGTAGTCTTTTATTGTAGAGATTTAGGGGAGCAGCTGACCATAACGGACGTGCCTACCAGCACTGAGTGACATTGTTAGCGGGAATTGTGTGCTCTCAAACCCTTGTATAAGGTCTTCCATCCTGCAAAAATTTTATGTAGAAAACAATAAGACTTGGACACTAACCTTCGGAGTTTCACTCAGGCTTCCCTCTCAACTGGTCTTCTAAACCAGGGTTGTGGAACGCCGGATAAAATTCTCAGGGTGTAGTTGAATATATCAAATGACGAGATGTTAAAACGTTATTACTCGCATCAGCTTTCCACGACAATTACAGTTTACAAAAAACTCGTGAAGACATTCAGAAAGGGGTATGGTTTGTGGTTAGTCTCAATTTAGAGAGATGTTCTGAGTCGGTGACTTTTGTGCACAAAGAACCGGTTATCGCAGTTCAATATGGATAGCCTCGCCGAATACTAGCACCCAGGTTGCGTATCCGAACAGCGAACGATTGTCTGGGGTCAGCGAAATGACCTGTGACCAGGTGATGATCTGCCTACGACCCATCATCATCGACTGCAGGACACCTATCGGTCACGGGTCATTCGCTGTTCAGATGCGCATTCAAACAGCCCGAGTGCTAGCACTGTGCAAGACAACGCTGACTAGACGAAGACGATAGCCAATTCTGTGTGCGCACAAGTCGATGGCTCAAAACATCTGTCTACCTTGACAGTGACCCCCGACTACCCCCTTCTCCGTGAAGTTTCCCACGTATACTTTCAGACTGTAGTTGCCATGTGTAAACCTGTAGACGTATTATTTACGTGAACGACTGATGATAAAAAATGTAAACATTTGGTCAGTTGTGTTTCTTCATGGTTTCGATAGAATTAGAAAGCTAGTTTTCAAGACACATTCTAGTCTAACAATGAAAATTCGGTAAACATCTAGCTATCGCGTGCTTCATTTCAGCTTTCAGGGGACCTTCAGTCCGCGATGGCACTCTGATATGATCTTAGAAAGGTTTTTGTGTCTTTGAATAAAAATTACTGGCCAAGCTAAGTGGAGAAGAAGAGTCGAGGGATGCATCGAGACGAGTGTATCGGCACTATTTAGGACATTGAAAGTTTAACTTGAAAGTATCTCTTTCGCGGTTCCGTTTCTTCGAGAATTGTGATGAAGAACTGTCGCGTCTTGATGAAGAGTCCTCGTGGACAGG